AGCGTATGTGAATTTTATGGCAATCCCATGTCACATGTACTTGAACCTCAAGATGTTGACGCACAACGAGGAATCACAGTAAAGGGTGACTTCAAGAACGCTCGCAAATGTGAGGTAGCTAATGCCAACTGATACGGCTCAAACGTATTTAAATTTTTACTTGTTTCATGCTACTTTTATATCATTTTTGCATCACTTTGGACATTTTTATCAATTTATTTGACTGACCTATTAATCTAGTGCCTATTGTCAGTTACTATTCTCTGCATGTTTTTGGACTTTTCAAAAAAAAAACACCGTCTTGAGGATTGAAAATGAAAAAAAATACAACTCTCTAAATTGGAAAGCTTTCCCATAGGGAAAGGGACGGCGAGGGTTCCAGCTTCTGCTTCCTTGGAGACGAATTTGAGGACGCCGAGGATTAGGCCCCTAACCGGTCCTAGAGTTGCCTATGTTGGCAAGAGAGGCCATCTTGATCTGCTTGCATAGATCTGGGTGCCCCTCCACGCATGGCGCGCCAACTGTCATTGTTTTCCCAGCGGAAGTGTCATTGGGATTCGACTATTTGTTCTGCTAGGGAGAGCGGTCGACGGATCAATGTGGCTAGCGAGGGGACAAGGGATTTTACCAAGGTCCCCCCTCTCCCCACCGAGGAGGTAAGACACTACTCTTGCTTCTTCTATTGAAATTGTGTTGCGGTAATTGCTAGAGTCTGGATGTTCTTCGGTGATATCTAACTGCTATTACAATATCCTTCACCCTCCTCTAGAGTTGCCGACTCGGCTATAGATGTGGCCGGGCCAGGCATACAAGAGTCAGGACGGGTCGGCTTGAAGGCCCTCGCTTGGGCTGGGCCTTCTTCACTTATGTATTGTGCTGGTGGAACTCATTGAGTCCCTGGTGCTCTTCTGCTCATAAGTTCTTTTACCTAGGATCTTGGCTCCCGGATCGTTCGTCACACATGTTAGCACGTTCCTCAGCCACCCTCTCGTTCCTTTACTCCTCGACCACCATTGCAAGCTTTTGCTCTTGAATGTTAATTACTATTTTTTCTTCTTTGGCCTCCAATGCAAGCCTTTTCTCCTAAAGTTCAAGTCTATCTTTCTTCCCCCCCCACCTTCCTCTATAAGCCACCAACTTTTTTGTCTACTTCCCCTCCTCTATCATCTACTATCTCATAGAAACAAGCCATCTCCTCCTCCTTCCATTCGGCAGCCAATGCCCTCTTCCTCTCCACAATCGCAATCAACTTTTCCTTGTATACTCCAACACTACATTCTTCTTGACGGTCTTTGCATTTTTTGCTCCGGCCAGACATGGGGAATCAATGGATTCTCTACAACACTGCATTCTCATATCCATCAAGCATTGTCTAGCAATGATGCAAAGTGAAGGGTTTGGAGCCGTTTCTCTATTTCATCTCCTCGTATATAGCTTGAATGATGGGCTCATACTTGTGCTTGGGGATTCCACTTGGTGACGCAAGGTTGACTTGCTCAACACATCCGGCCCACTAGTTGCATCAGTCTTGGGTCACACTCCAACGATGAGTGAGAGATCCGATTGTGCATTTGGAGTGAGCAGTAACATTGTTATTGTAGTACTCTTTGATCATTTGCCAAGAATATATGCTTTGTTTGGGTGGCTCCTACTATGATGTCAACAGAGATGTTGATCCCAACTTCCCAAAAAGTTTTTGTCTTCCTTGGTGATGGAGTCAAAACCAACAGATCTCGTGTAGGGGGTCCCAAGCTGGTAGCCTTGGCACGATGGTAACTGGGATACATGATCTTACCCAGGTTCAGGCTATCTAGTAGAGATAATACTCTATGTCCTACTTTGATTATATTTATTTCGAGGGAGTAAAAGTTACAAGTTGATCTACCACGAGATCTATGTGTGTATGAGGTGATCGTCTACGGGCCTCACCCCTGGGTTTATATAGATACCAGGGTTGTACATACGTCGGCCACATCTAAAGTAAAATATGGTGTTGATGAACTCTAAGTCTTGGAGTAGGCGCCAAGTCTTCAAAAGTTTCCATCTTGATGCTCTTAGTCCCGACAAACATCCCCCATTAGTTAATAACTTGGGGGTCCTTGGCCTGACCCACATTGTCGGGGGACGATGTGGTGAGCACCCTCTAGTCTAGGACACCATCAGTAGCCCCTATATCGGTCTTTTAAGTCGAGGTTGTGCCTCGGTTCTCCTGAGCTGCTGCTTCATCTTCGGCCATCGATCCATGAAACTGGTTCATCAAGTCCTTTCCTTGCTTTTCTAGAAACGGTGAAGCCTTACCGAGGAGTTTGTACCTCAGGCATCAGTGGACTGTCTTGAATTGGAGCACTGCTATCTTAATGACAAAGTATCCATGTGCTTGGGCCTGACCGTGGTCCAACCCCGTTCTGACAACGTTCACCTCCAACATGTCGTCACATCAAGGGTCATCATAGAATGCCAGTGTGGCCCAAGGCCCTAGTAAATGTTGTCCTGGATTAGGGGATACTAACCTGGTCGGCCCATGCTCCTCGGGTTGGGCCGACAGTTCCTCATTCATACTCAATATGGACTTCGTAGGTGGTATGCTGGAGGCGTAATCGA